CCACTCCTCAGAAGGCAGGTTGGGCAGTCTATTTCTGTAGTGATACTGCCTTGGAAACCCAAGGAGCGTTTGCTATGCATCAGATTCGACTCAATGGCAATAAGTTTGGTTTTGTTTAGTTTTTCTCTTTGTATCAAATATAGTAAACATTGACTATAAATTAATCTTTAACATACTGGATAAAAAAACAAAAAGATAAGAATTTACCAGATTACTGATTCCAAGCTGAGTAGACCAGAAACCCACTCAAGTCTGATGGTCAAGAAAGTCTGACTAAATGTGGGCTTCCATATAAAGAGAGAAATTAGGAAGGACAGAGTGCATTCAAAGCCCCAGCTCTGTCACTTGCAAGTCATTTTTATGTCATTGGCAAGTCATTTTTCCATCTCTGGACCTTGGTTTTCCCTCCTGTAAAATGCAGGTTAGCCAGATGACTCCTAGGTCTTCTAGATTAGACCTTAGTGATTCTATGAAGACCTCCGTTTGCTCGCATTCAAAAGAACTCTACAAGGTTTTCAAATGTATTCTCATTAATATCTGTGCATAAGGTGGTGTAGTGCCTAAGCGATTTGACTGCTAACGAGAAGGTTGGTGGTTCAAACCCACCAGCCACTCTGCTGAAGGAAGACTGGGCAATCTACTTCTATAAAGATTTAGGGGGCTGCTATGAGTTGGAGTCAACTCAATGGCAGTGAGTCTGGTTTTTTTTTTTTTTTTTTAATAGGTGTCAAACTGGCAGATCAAAGGACCTTGGCTCTCTTCAGTCCATTTAGGTGGCTTGTGCATACCTGATTGTATAGTGTTTCCTGAGTCCCTGTGGGAAATGGCTTCAAAAGGCTTGACTTGAATTGACTCAACTTACTTTGTACACTATACATGTTTGAGCATACCCTCCTCTATCACAAACATGGCTCTCTCTGAATGGGGAGTGTATAAACTCAGAATTCCTGCATGTGAACCAGACTTCCAAGAAAATTACATTTCACAAGGAATCTCCCTAATTATATTGCTTCTTTCAATATAATCTTAGTTAGACACCCACTGCTTCTCACAAATTTACCCTCTTTGAGGGTAAATCGATGGCCATTTTAAAGGCCTCAAGATGCTGAGTGACTTGATTGTGATTACAAAGAAACTCCCAAGGAGTTTGCTCTTGAGAGTGCTGTAATTTAACTTGCAGGCCACAGTGCCCTGCACTACATGACGAGCACTAATTCTTTTTCAGGAAGTGCTTATTAATCAAATCAACCTCATCCTAATCTGAGTGCCCAGTACTGCGATCAGCTTATTCTGGTTTGTCTGTGAATTTCTCCATTGTAGCACAGGAAGTCCCTCATCCAGGGATCCCCAGTGCTGGGCAAAATAGGACAAGTGGTTACTCTAGCTCTCAGGGTTCTCAAATTTCAATAAATGTAAGAATCAATATTCCAAACAAATCCCACTACTATCGAGTCGATTCTGACTCATAGCGACCCTATAGGACAAAAAAGAGCTGCCCCATAGGGTTTCCAAGGCTGTATGGCAGACTACCCCATCCTTCTCCTATGAAGCAGCTGGTGAGTTCAAACTACCAACTTTTTGGTTAGCAGCCAGATGCTTTAACCATCCCACCACCAGAGCTCCTTAGAATCCACACACAACATTGGTTACTGAAACTGCAGATTTCTGGGGTGAGTGATTCTAATGAAAACATTTTCCTTAACATACTAAGAAATACTGGTAAGAAATGACAAGTTTATTACTCTTGGCACTTGGTTATCAATAGTCCTCAAACTCATCTGAACATTAGAATCACTTTAGGAGCATTTTACCAATACTAATGCCTGGACTATATCCTAGATCAATTAAATCAAAATCCTTGGGGATTTTGTAATAGCAAAAAACTGGAAGCAATTTAAATGATAATTTAAAGAGAAGAATGGATGAATAAAGAATGGTCTATTCATATAAAGGAAAACTATACTGCAGTGGAAATGAATAAATCAGCTACATATACCAATATCAGAATGAACTGACCACAAGATTTTCCTAAAGTTAAAGGCTATTGTGACTGACTTTTTGGAAAGCTAGAGGCTTCAGTTTGACTGGCAGGCTGATTGCCTTGTAGCAGAAGGTTCTGGGGTATGTACTAACACCTGCAGCAGCAGCCAAACAGGTTTGTGCTGTAGAAGCCTCCTGCCACTTGGTAGAGCTCATTTCACCAGCTTTAAGAAAACACCTTCCTTGTGGTTCAGAGACAAATCCTGTAAGAATGAGGTATCACATTCAGATCTTAAAATATCTGCCTTGCGATCCAGAAGTCATGTGAACTGACATCATTTTTGTACAGGTTCCCAAATTGCTTTTAAACAGGTGTAAAGTCTGCTGCTGCATTGTCATTCACCGTTCCCTTGCCTGGTCCACATATGGCAGTAAATGCATCAGAAATTAAGATGTTACCACAAACCTGGGATTTCAAGGTTGTTACTCCTGTTTGATTTTTCTAGGTTGCTGATAAATGTTTACTTTAAAAAGGGCCACAGAGCTTACCTGGTCCTAGTTTGGCCACGGCATAGAGGAGGTCATAGTTGAGGACTGGCGTGGCATCACTGATGGGCTGCCAGCCAACGGGAGGAGACGCAGGGGGTGAGATGAGAAACTGTTTGGAGGGCTGTGGTGGAGCCAAATGCAGTTTATCTCCATCCGTCTCTGGAGTCTGAACCTTTCAAACAGAGTAGGAATGAAGACACATGATTCATTGTGGTTTCAGATGTCCCATATCGGTACACTAAGATGGGGACTCTCTCTCATTTTCAGTCTGTAAAAATGAACCAGTGGACCAAGCTATAGTAATACCAACTAACCGAAGACCATGTGCCCAATGACCTTATTTTATCCTTAAAACAGAGGTTCTCAACCTTTCGTGTGAATCAGAATCACCTGGAGGACTTCCTAAAACACAGATTATTAGGACTCACCCCTAGAATTTGATTCAGCAGATCTGGGGTTAGGTCCGTGAATTTGCACTTCTAACAAATTCCTAGGTGGTGCTGATGCCGCTGGTCCTCAGACCACATTTTGAGAACCACTGCCTACCACAAATATACCAGGTGGTTTTTTTTTTTTTTTCTTTTTGAGGTGAAATTCAAATAACATAAAATTAACCATTTTAACGTGAGCAATTCAGTGGCATTTAGTATATTTGCAATGTAGTTTACTGTTGCCTACATCTAGATCTAAAACATTTTCATCACTCCCAAAAGAAACCCTCTACTCATTAAACAATCATTCCCCATTTCTTATCTCCCAGCCTAGCCCCTGGCAGCCACCAGTCTGTCTTCTGTTTCTATGGATTTACCCAATCTAGATATTTGATATAAACAGAATTCTACAATGTGACATTTTACTTTAGCCTTCTTTCACTTAGCATACTGTTTTGAAGGTTCAAACATACTGCAGCATGTATCAGTACTTCATTCCTCTTTATGGCTGAATAATATTCCATTGTATGAGCATGTTTAGATTGTTTCTGCTTTTTGGCTATTGTGAATAGTGCTGCTATGAACATGGTATATAAGTTTTCACTGAAGTAAATATTTTCAATTCTTTTGGGTATATATACCCACCCATTGCCATGGAGTTAGATCCGATTCATAGCGACTCCTCCTTGGGTTTCCGAGGCGTATCACTACGGAAGTAGATTGCCTGACCTTTCTTCCGAGTAGTGACTGTTGGGTTTGAACAACCAGCCTTCTGGTTAGCAGTCAAATGCCTTAGGCACTACACTACCAGAGCTCCTGGGTATATACTATGGAGTGAAACTGCTGGGCCAGATGAGGATACTGAAGTTTGTTCAAATCACATGACTTAGTAGCATTCATGGTATTTGAACGTGGGTCTGAGGCCAAAGTCTTTGTTCTTATTGTATCATCTCTGTAGAATTCAAAAGTAGAAATAATATCTATGGACCAATAAGAGATGGATTAAGGTATGCACTGAAAGGGTGAAAGACACTGATGGAACACACGAACACTGATGGGTAAGGCATTTAGCTGCTAACCAGAAGGTCAGTGGTTCAAATCCACGAGCTGCTCCATTGGGGAAAGATGACGCAATGTACTGCCATAAAAATTTACAGCCTTGGAAACCCAATTGGGGTTGCTATGAGTGAGAACTGACTCAATGGCAGTGGGTTTGGTTTAGGTTTTTGGTGAATATCACAGGCACTGCCAAGAATTAACCACCATTTTTTTTTTTTTTTTTGAGTAGCCAGAATTTATTTTTGAGTGAAAACATGAAATTAATTTACATATATTAATAATCTTTTCCATGACTATGAATCAATGGAAAGGTTATACAGTCCACTAATATTGCCATGTAATTTAAGCTTTAATTATAACCCTGCTGCAAAGTTAGGAGCAGTTGCGATTAGATCATTCTTACTAGAGCTCTAGCGTTGTGTACTTACTGAATGCAAGGCACTTTAAAATATGCTAATTTATTTTATAGGAGCTCTGATGGCATAGTGCCTAAGGCATTTGACTGCTAACCAGAAGGCTAGTGATTCAAACCCACCAGCCACTCCTCGGAAGGAAGGTTGGGCAATCTACTTCTGTAGTGATACTGCCTTGGAAATCCAAGGGGGGGGGGGTCACTATGAGTCAGATCTGATTTGACAGCAGGGAGTTTTTTTTTTTTTTTTCAATTTATTTGATCCTCAAACAACTCTATGGGCTATGTACTATCATCATCCCCATTGCACAGATGGGGAAACTGAGCCTCAGTGAGGTTATGTAATTTGCCCAGGTTAGAGCCCAGGCTGCCAGCCATTAGGGTCTGCTTTAAAATCATAATGGTGTCCCTGCCTGGGAAACATAATATGGGTCTATTTCTCAATGAACTAAGTATAGACTATAAACCCATCTGAAAATAGAAATGTCTCCTTTTCTATTGAAAATGGCAAAAGAAAATATAGGGCAAAAGGATTAACTTTGGTAAAGAATTCTCTTACCTGTGCAAAGTAAAGCTTTAATTTTTTCCCTCTGAACTGGGTTTCATGAAGCTCTATCCTGGCTCGGGCTGCGGATTTAGGATTGCTGAAGTTTATTCGGACACGTCTGAAACTCTTAAATAGCTGGAACGTCACGCAGTCATCATAAGTTCGGAATAGTCCCTCAAATTTCTCCTAATAAAAACAAACACAAGAGGAAAATCCATTGGTCATGCACCTTGCACACTGCCAGATCTGACAAAAACAAATAATCCTGCTTTCAGTCCTTCCTGAAACACGGCTTGTGTAACTAATTAAACAAACAGGTTGCTCATAACATAAATGTAAGAAAGAATACAGAATTTTTCTGTAGAAGAATGATTTTTCTTTTTCCCCCATCTGGGTCTGTTGCCACTTAGTAAAATACCTGTGGACTCACTCTGAAGATTTAGAATCTGGGCCCAGGGAACCATATAGGACCAATGAATGGGGTTCACAGTGCATAAAACCATGGAAATTATGCAAAATATTGAGTGTATCTATTTATCTGTGTGGATACTTTTTGTTTTTACCCTGGGGAGAGCTAGCTTAGTTTTCACAGATTCTCACAGGGGTCAATTACTTTCAAAATATTAGAGCCACCGATTAAAGCCTGTGGTAGACCTTATTAGTGATTATCAATCTTAAGGATACTTTTCTTTCTTAGGGATACGGAAGCTCATACTACCTAAACCCTTCCGGTCAGGTAGCAATGTGTTAGCTCTGGTCAAGAACTGTACTTTGAAGGCAGGAAAACGACCCTGAGTAAAATGTCTGGTCTGTCTCTGTCTGATGTGTCAGCTGGAGAGGCCATTGTTCCAGACGATACAGCTGTTAAGAAGCAGGAGAATCCTCAACCTGTGTCCCCGAGTGTCTGTGTGAAGCAGAAATACCTTTCTCTACTCTACAGCTGATCTTTCTTTGTTACAGTATAAAAATTCATTCCAGAACCAAAAGAATATACTCAAATCTAGCTTGCTTTTTTTTTTTTTCTTTTTTAGTTTCATCACCTTTCTGGAGATTTGAGAGACTCTCTTCTTATTCCTCTTTCCCTATCAAGAGCAGAACATAATTGTCTTATGCAAGACATTGTCTTATGCAAGACAATTTTTTTTGTTTCTTTCTTTTTTTTTTTTTTCTTCATCTCTCAGCCCTTTGTCTTAGCAATGAAAGACCCTCTGTTGCATGAAACCACTGAGATTTGGGTTTATTTTATTCTTGAAGTGTAGCTGGGCCTATTTCAATACAAAGCAATAATTTAAAGTTTTGATTCAATACACAATTTCAACTCAACTGAGTAAATGCTTTATACAAAGCACAGTCTCTAGGTTTTAGGAGGATGCAGAGATGAGTATCACTTGGTTCGTACTCTCAGTGATCTAACAATCTAACAAAAGATAGATATAGACACAAATAAGAAAACACCCAGAAGACTGACAAAGATCTAAAAGGAAAATGAGAGAAATGATAGACAGACACATATATACACAGGTATCCCCCACTTTTTGAAAGTTTGCTTTATGCCACTTGGCTTTTATGAAAGATCTAGATTAGTATTTGTGTTCATTAACTGTTAGACGAAAGAAAACCAAAGAGGATTTTCACTTTTACAAAAAGAGGTGAAAAGCAAAACTAGCATTCAGCGTTCATTTTGCAGTGAGCTGTTAAAGAGGCAGCGGGCACCCTGAGCAGTGAGAGTGGTGTCACCAAGCTCCTTCCTCAGGAACTGCACTTAGCATCTCAGTACCAAGCTGCCCCATAGCTTTAAACAATATCTGTGAACACTATAACTCACTGCCATCAAGTTGATTCTTATTCATAGTGGCACTATAAGGAAGAATAGAACTGCCCCATAGGGTTTCCAAGGCTGTAAATCTTTATGGAAATAGATAGCCTCATATTTCTTCTATGGAGCCACTGACGGGTTTGAACTGCTGACCTTTTGGTTAGCAGCAGAATGCTTTGACCACTACACCACCAGAGCTCCTTCTCTGGGTCTAGGAGCACTCAAATATTTTTCCCATATAAACTATATTGGTAACTATTTCTTTCCTTTATGCCATTTCAGCTTATGGAAAATTTCAAAGGAATGCTCTACTTTCGGATAGCGGGGAAACCTGTTAGGTATAATTTTATAATATGTATATATAAACACCATCTGTCTGGTTCCTCTTAGCCTTAAAAAACAAAACAAAACAAAAAACCTTATTATAAATAACAAACCCAGTGCTTGTTAAGCTACTATGTATTCTAAATGGGGAAATTTCCACTAAGGAAATAGCTTCTATAAAGAAAATTCGATTCTTTTATTTTCACAATGAAAAGTATTTTGTCTTAAGAGTCAGCACAAGTAGGAGTGGAGATGCATGAAAGATTACTTCTGCAAGATTCATAAAATGTTGACTTGGAATGTGCCTACCACATGATTAACTCAATTTTTCACTTCTTTGTTGTTGTAGTTAAGTGCTGTTGAGTCGTTTCCGACTCATAGCGACCCCATGCACAGCAGAACGAAACACTGCCCGATCCCACACCAGCCCCACAATCCCTGCTATA